TTGATATCTTTTGTACAAAACAAAATTAAATGATATTTTTTGTATAAATTTAAAACTCTATTACCTTCCTAAATATTTTTTTTTGTATTACCTTTGCACATCAGAATATACAGGGTCTTGTAGGTAATGTTTTTTCAGGAAAATTTTCGTTTGTATAATCTTAATACTCTGTACCACCAAATGATGCATGTAACAAGGTGGAGCTATCCTATTTGGCAAACAATATGTCTAACAAGTTGTTTCTTATAAGGCCGGACGGAGCCGGGTGCGGGATGAGCCGCGGGAAGCTTCCCGCTCCGATGAACACCGCACCGGCAGTGCGGGAAGGGTTGCGCGGGGAGGAGGTGGGGGGTGGGGTTGCCGCGTTCTCTCTCCGATGAATATTGGATATATATATATATATATATATATATATATATATATATATATAATTGAAAATAACCTTTAAAAAAATGTAAATTGTGATTTTTTTTTTTAATTTCCAACGGCTAAATGGTTTAAAATTAAATTTTATTTTACCCTCCACAACCTCTATAAATACTCATATTCATTTACCTTCAATCAAACCTCATACTCACCTGTAACGCCCGGGTTTCGATGCTAAGCATTAATTCGATGATGTAATAATCAAGGTTAACCATTGTAACAAATTTTAAAGTAATAAAGATGAATTACTTGAATGTTATGTGAATTATGTGATTGTAAGTGATTATATACTTGTTTGTAAAGATATAATAAAAACAAGCGTCAAAAATAAAATGTTAGATAAACCAGATATCTATGAAGAAAGTCATAATGGTCGTGACAAGGATTCCGAAGATATAAAGAATGTCAAAATCCGACTTATAACGAAGAAGTTACGGCCTGTCGAAGTTTCGCAACAAAACCGCCACGACGCTGCGTGACGTAAAAAGTGAATTTACGATACAATACTTTTAGCCTTAGCAATCTAAACGAAAGTCGTAGTGTTCGCTAAACTGAGAGCGTGCATAAAAAGAACGCCCAAATCTGACTTCGTATGAGGAAGTTATGATTTTTCCAAGTTTCGGATTAACAGTACACAGCCCGAAGTTCGAATAGTAGATCAAACGGTTTTCGGCCGACACAATCTAAACAAGAATCGAGGTCTCATTAATAGTAGCTCAACGGTAAAAAGACAGACGAAAACGGACGTCGGATGAAGAAGTTATGAATTTTTAACGAACTTTTCGTGTCCCGGCCTGTTAAAAATATAACTTTAAAAATAGACTCAAAATTAGCCGACGGAGTCTAAACAAAAGTTGTAGAGTACGGTCCCACCTACGTGTGGATATAAAGAACGTCGAAAACGGAGCTCGTATGCGAAAGTTATGAATTTTAGAAGTCGGGAGTGCCATTTGCGAGGCTGGTCAAGTACGCCCCGCGTACTCACATTCTTGGTCCAGAGAAGTCCAGGTCACCCCACCCGATTTCGGACACCTGTCCCTCGGAACGTCCAACGTATGCAGGTACGCCGCGCACAACAAGGTACGCCCAACGTACCTCCGCAGGTACGCCCTACGTAGACCGAGGCCATCGGCTATATATAAGATGCGAGGCTGCCATGTTTTCTCACAACTTTCACCACTTCTTTCTCTCTCTACTCTCTTTCTAAACCTTCCAAACCACCCCCAAGCCTAGGAAACCTCCCTAACACTGGAAGGAAGCCCCAAAGCGCCCGAAGATGTAACGCCCGTGTATCTGGGCTAAGCATTAATGATGATATAATAGTCTAGGTCAACCATTGGAACCGTTTTGAAGTAATAAGAATGAATAGTCTTGATAAAAGTTGTAGTATATGTTACAAGGATTCCGAATATATAAAGAATGCCGAAATCCGAGTTATAACGAAGAAGTTATGACATGTCGAAGTTTCGCGACAGAACCGGTACGACACAGCGCGACGTTAATAGTGAATTTACGATAGAGCGATATTTGGTTTTAGCGATCTAAACGAAAGTCGTAGAATACGTTAAACCGAGAGCGTGCATAAAGAGAACGCCCAAATCTGACTTCGTATGAGGAAGTTATGATTTTTCTAAGTTTCAGCTTAGCGGTATGCAGCCCAAATTTCGAAATTGAGATCGAGTGATCTTTGGCCGAAACAATCTAAACGAGAATCGAAGGTCTCGTCGATAGTAGT